TCATTCTCTCTCTCAAATAAATAAATAAAATCTTTAAAAAAAAAAGATAACATATAAAAACAGAACTCATATACATCTTTAATCTCAAACTATCAATCCCCACAAAGCTAGCATTTTTCTCTAATTCAGAAGAGTAGAATTCAATAATAAATGCTTCATGGGACGCCTGGGTGGCTCAGTTGGTTAAGTGTCTGCCTTCAGCTCAGGTCATGATCCCAGAGTCCTGGGATTGAGTCCCGCATCAGGGCTCCTTGCTTGGCAGGAAGCCTGCTTATCCCTCTGCCTGCCACTCCCCCTGCTTGTGCTCTCTCTCTTTCTGAGAAATAAATAAAAATCTAAAAAATAATAATAAATGCTTCATCCCCCATCCTCAGAGCAGATATAAAACAGAGTTAACTAGCTTAGAAACAACTAAAATTATCTTTTAAAATGAGATGCACAGTATGTTAAGAGTTCAATAAATGTTAGTTGAATTAACTTAAGATGCAAAAATTAATGAAATGTCTCTAAAAAGGCACAGAGTAAATTATTTTCTTTCCTACTATTCTAAAAGCCATTCAAAAGGATAGAGGGGTGCCTGGGTAGCTCAGTGGATTGAGGGTCCAACTCTTGGTTTTGGCTCAGGTCCTGATCTCATGGGATTCCCTGCTCAGCAGGGAGTCTGCTTCTCCCTCTCCCTCTGCCCCTCCCCACCCCCGCTAGTGCTTGCAAGCACTCTCTGTCTCAAATAAATAAATAAAATCTTAAAAAAATAACAGAAAAAAAAAGGAACGAAAGAAAAAAAAAGGATAAAGCTCTAGCCCTTTATTTAGCCAAAGTCAGCTCTCACAATATCTTAGGTAGACATACCAGCCCATGGTACATGTGAACAATTACTCACAAGGCAGAATTTATGTAGGGCCAACAATAAAGTGTATTCTACTGAAAACAGAAAACAAAACAAAAAAAAGAAAAAACCAGAAGGTTTCAATATTTCCATAATAAATGACAAATTTACCTATTTAAAAAAAAATCACAAAAATATCTCTATGGATTTTCCCTTAAGAAATAAGGTTTTGCTTATATCCAGCTCTGGACTAGGTGAAATAAGGAAGTTTTCTTTAATAATGAGTACATCTGGACACCAGTTGGAAGGTAGTTACAACATAGAAGAATATATTAAGCGGTAAGAAAATACAATTATTTTTAAAAAATCTAAGATTAAAGGTAAAATGTTAAGAAGAAAAAAAATAATGTTGACAGAAATATATTGACTTCTATATATATTTCTATACATGGATATGGAAAACGTGTCATGAAAAAAGATCAGTGGTAACTTTCTAATCAAATATAAATAGATATGATTTAAATGTCCCTTTGCAATGAGAAACATTTGAAGTGTTCCTTTACTCACTTAGAATACAGATCAGGAAGGAAGAAAAATGCACAAAGCTAAGAATGATTCACAAGTATGAGATTAAAGGAATCAAGGTACAGCCATTATAAATTTTATAGTCAAGAAAAGCGCTTAAGAAAGGCTCCATTGACCTCCAACTCCATCCCACACAATAAAAATGACTCTCTTTAATCTTCCAAGTATTACAGAGTGCCTAACAATGAGTAACATTGCCTTACCATTCCTGTTTACAGGCAAAAATGCAGATAAGGAAATGAAGTACTATGAAGTCTTTTAATATAATACCAAACTGGGAATAAGACTACTGCACCTTTGGGGCGCCTGGGTGGCTCAGTCGTTAAGCGT